AATACAAAAAATATATATTATTGAGGATATAAACAAAGAGCAATTTATGAAAGTATTAAGAGAAAATGAAATTCCAATTAAATTATAGAATTTGTTTTTATAATTATCTTTTTTAAAATGAAAATTAAGAAAAAAATTAATACTAGCCGTAAAAAGTTCTATCTAATAAGTTTGCTTGCATAACTAGGAAAGAGCACAATCATCCTAATGAGTCCTCGTAATGAGATTATCTTTCTGGAGTCCACTTTTCTATCATTATTTGCAATTTTGTCATCAAAAGAACAAAACTGAGCTTAAGATCCAAAATTCAAATTCATAACTACATATATAATAAGGAAAAATTAGTGACAACTATAAAATAATAAAGTAATAATAAAAACCAATGTAAAAGATAATAAATAAACATGATTTTAAAAATAAAAATGAAAATAGAAATCATGAAAAGATATGAGATCTAGAAGTTATTTTAAGTTGTTACATTGCTAAAAAAATTGTTTGTATATAAAATATTTTTTTAAAATTATAAATCTAATATAAATATTTTTTATACTATAAAAAAATTAACAAATAGTAACAGAAATGCCAATAAAAATAGCAATAGAAAATTTTAATTGATAATATTTTAAATGTAAATAGCAACATAATATATTCCGTTAATAATTTTTTATGGAATAAAAAAATAATAAATAATAAAAATTTCTTTTACAATCCATTAGAAATTTGACACGACAATATTTTTTAATGAAATTGCTGACAGATATTTCATCAATAAATTTAAATAAATTAAAATTCAACATTTATCTCTTCTCCTTTTTTTTCTTTCTTGTTTTCTAGAAAAAAAACAAAAACAACCCCTCTCTTTGTTTTCTCACAAATCCAACCCTCCCAAACTGCCAAAATCTACATACATTTATCACTATCAACATTACTAATCTCTTGACTTAATTTCTTGTGAGACTTGCTACACTAAACAAGTAAGTATGTTAATTTTTTTAATAAATCATTTGTGTTAGGTTAATTGATTGAAACATTTTCATATAGTATTTATAATTTATTTATATATTTAAGCGTTCTACAACTACTTTCTAAATAATTTTTCTATATTAATATATGATTTATATATGAGAGTTTGTTTAAAATTTAAGAGAAATTAATTTTATTTATTATTCGATGAAATTGAATTTGATTTTGTAATTTATATGTGTTATAATTGAATAAATAATGTGTTATTTAATTGATATCAATTACTCATTTTTAATTTTATTGTCAAATTAAAAATTCAAGAAAAATGATTTCTTTATTTGGAGTTGATATATATATATATATAAAAGGAATCCAAGCTATTATAGAATGAAGAGCATAGATACCTAATTAAGCTTTAAACTGGAAAATCTATAAAGTAGAAAACAACATGTGTAACCAAGAAGAATATACTCCACAAAAATTACATATCATGATTGATAGGAATCTAATTTGAGAGTACTTTTCATTTCCATTACGAAAGTGATTCATCCGTCCCGTATGGGCTGTGGCCAGCTCTAAGTTGAGATTGATACTGGAAAGGAAAATTTAACACCTTCATTGACGCTAGGGAAGTCAGTCCTCGAGAAAGACTGCTCTTCCATTGTTCTAACTTCTATGCCCTTCTAAAACGGCATCCATTGCTGTCACTCGATGGTTTCAGCCAAGAAAGAAAGGGGCGGCCATTTCTACACGTACCTTTCAGCTGTCGCTTTTAAGTGAGAGTGTTGCAGAACCATTGCCTACGTTTTGGAGAATTTCTATAGGTACTTCGTGATGCGAGTGCCATGCCAAAACAATCAGAACACCGTCTGCGATGATGGCGTTTGATGTGCCTTGTTGTCCGCGTCATGGTGGCCAGATGCGTGCAGAAGAAAAATCAAAGATTAAATTCTAGCAACGCGTTTTTTTCCCTCCCTCTCATCTTTCCTCCCTCCTAGAAAACATGTTGTTCATTGCAACAAATCAAAGAAGTTTGGTTTTTTTTTTGTTGCTGATTCAAATAAAATTCTTGTTATTTTGATTACAATTTATTTGATCTTGAGTTATTTATTTAGTTTTTTTTTTTTTATTTATTTGATCTTGAGTTATTTATTTAGTTATTTTTTTTATTTTATTAGTGTGATACATGTCATAAGTTTTGAAAATTGAATTAAATTAATTATGGTTATTTTTCTTATTTTTAATTTCATTTATCATTATTACATTTATTAGAAATTAATATTTTTTATTTTTTTAACTTTATATTTTTATATAGTTATTCTAATACTATGTTTCGAGTAAAGAATTCAGCGTGATCTTGAATTTAGCAGACTAGTTAGGTTTGAGGGTGAGGGGTTGTTAATCCCTGCTATTTTCTGATCTTTTTTTTTTTTTCTGATATGAACCCTTGAAATATAGGGTGATTCAATTGACATCACTTTCTTTATTTTCATCCATTTTTCTTTTAAAAAACAAGTTAATTGCACAGGTTTTCTTATAAAACATTCACAGTGGAGCTTGTTATGTTAACTTTAAATCATTATTATAATGGCAGTAACTTCGAACTCATCAAATAATAAGATAATTATGATTGAAATAAATATGAATATTTATTACATTGCACTCATTTAAAAATGATTTATTTTGTTTCAAAAATAATATTTGATTACTATTTAAGGACAAGAAAATTTAGACAATAAAAACAAATTAGACAAGACAATAAGTAAAACAGAGATAAAATTATATTTAATATTAGTATACAAGATACAGTGATTATTTCTATATCTTATTTATTTATAATGGACATGACATAATAAAATATATAAAAATATATTTTATTTTTAATATATATTACTATAAAACTTATATATTTTAAAAAATAATTAGAGATAATATGTTGACCTTTATGTCCTATAACCTAGGTTTTTTCTTGAATCAATCTCCAAGTCCTATAACCTAGGTTTTTTCTTGAATCAACCTCCAAGTTAAATTTTAAAACTATGATAATAATAATTTTTATTTTTATATTGGCCTTCCTAGCTTGTGATATGAGTTTCGCTTGTATTTGATTTTAAAATTAGGTTTTAAAATTATTATACTAATAATTTTAATTTTTATATTGACTCGAGTCAATAATAAATCCAACTTATGACTCGGGACTTGCAAATGATCGACCCATGAATCAAGTCTTAAAATTATGATTATAACTATTTCTATTCTTACATTAACTCAGATCAATCTAACTTGTGACCTAGTTCATGTCCTCAATCAATCTTTGAGTTGAGTTTTAAAACTATTAATAATTATTTTTATCCTTGCATGTCTTAAGTATTAAAGAACCAATTCAACCCAAAAACTTAAGAATTATATATTATTATTTAATACACAAAGGGTTTGAAACTTGCACAAACTCATTTTATCTTGTGTTTAATTTTTATCAAATAAATAGGAATGATGAGATTCAAAATCATGACCACTTAGTTATTAAGGCTTTGATACCTTGTTAAAAACCATTTCAATCTAATTGCTTAAACTATTAAGTGAAGTTACAAGATATAATTTATATTATTCTTTAATATTAGATCCATAATTTTAAAATTAAGAATTTTTTATAAGAATATGTTAAAAAAATAATAATAAATATTATTTATGGGGATAAATCTCCTCTATACTTTCCTGGTACAATAATTAAACTCTATCTAAAATACCAACAAACCCTTTTTTAAAAAAAACAATTATACTTAATTTTGAATATCTATCATAATTATTGAAATGTTATATGTAAACTAAAACTAAAATTTTATTGTGATATCATCAATATAATTTTTAAAAAATAGGTAAAAATAATGTTTGTATGACAAGTAAATCACTTCGAGTTTTTTTTGTCTTTTCATTTTTTTTATAAGAGCAATTTGATGAACAACTCCTGTTCCAGTTTCAAATGATAATCACCTCAGTCAATTCAATCACACGTACACCATTAATTATTCGGACTTCTGCTGTCATTTCAACTTATATGCTTCATTATTAACCGCAATATATTTTTTTCTTCAAAAAAGCAATTTTTTCAAGAAAATAAAATAAAATGGAAAGCCGGATAAGTTGAAAAAGTTTCTGTAAAATGTTTTCACTCTTGCATTCCTTTTCTTCTCTTTTAATTATTATAATTTTGTTTCACAAAATTAATGTTCAGAGAATTATAAAATAGTATTTAAAATTATAAACACTCAAAATATTACGAGATGTTATGATCATTGTTTCCACCTTAATTTTTTTTTCATTTGCATCATTTTTTTATTTAATCTTTTTAATTTTTATTCAATAATTATATTTTGGTTTTGAGAAATTGATGCTTAGTAAACTATATAATAATATTTGGAATCATGAATATACCAGACAGTATGAAATCAATAAAATATTAAAAACAAAAAAACAATAAAAATGCAAGATAAGAGAAAGACACAATTTATTATATGTTGATAATTACCCATAATATTTTTTTTTTCTTGATTTTATTTTTGTTACTTAACTTTTTATATTTTAAATTTAATCCTCTTATACTAAGTTGATCTGAGATTGTGTTTAATGTTTTGTTTTGACTAGTTTTACATGAGACTCTCATAATATTAAAAATAAATTATTTTTTTGTGATTTAAAAAAGAAAATGGTCCGAACAATCAAAACACCCTATCTAATTAAAAGGTTGAAATCAGGAAAAAAAAAGTAATCTAGGAAATGTAAATTAAAATGGGCTATAATTTAGAGCGTATTAATTTTATAAGTAATTAGGCTATAGAAATAATTCTTTTGCGAGGATATTTTAGAGGTCAGAGATCCTGAGAAAATCAACGAAGATGGCGGATGAGAAGAGACGACACAAGAAATGACAAGGTAATTTGTTTGCGATTTATCAACACTCAACAGTGGACCTACTTGGGATGCATGAATTTTCCACACGAAAGTTACGTTTCCCATGTCTATAAACAATGTAATCATGCAGCAAACTTCCAGTATTTATCCATACAATTAGCAACTAAGTATGAAACAGCTTAAACACTTGGCATCAATGGATATGATCCTTGCATTCGTATTTATCATTACAAAACTACTATTATTCCCGTTTAAGTTCTCCACTGCCCTTGACAGCATTAGTCCATCAGAATTTATGATTGATGGCAAGACATTGGTCTCCGAAAAGGGAACTTTTGAACTGGGTTTTTTTAGTCCGGGCATTTCCAAGAAAAGTTACTTGGGAATATGGTACAAAAATATCCCAGTTAGAACCATTGTTTGGGTTGCAAACCGGCGCAATCCTATTAATGATTCCTCTGGCTTGTTGAAGGTAGATAACAGTAGCAACATTGTACTTCTTAGCAACAACACTAATACTGTTGTTTGGTCTTCAAACTCAACGAAAAAAGCAAGCAGTCCGATTTGGCAACTTCTGGATTCCGGGAATCTAGTCTTGAGGGACAAAAATGATGGAAGGAGTGGACTCTTATGGCAAAGTTTCGATTATCCATGTGATACAATGTTACCAGGAATGAAGATTGGATGGGATTTAAGGGCAGGATTTGATTGGCGTCTATCATCTTGGAAGAGCTCAGATGATCCATCTCCTGGAGACTTTACAATGGGGATCGAACGAGAGAGTAACCCCGAGGTAGTAGCCTGGAAGGGCTCAAAGAAGCACTACAGGAGCGGTCCGTGGAATGGCGTTGGATTTAGTGGTTCTACAGAGGTAAAGCCTAACCCAGTTTTTGATTTCACTTTTGTCTCAAATAACATTGAGGTGTACTATATATTCAACCTCAAGAGTGAGTCTACAGTGATCACAAGGTTAGTTTTGGACCATACTACCTACAATCGTCAGTGCTATACATGGAATGAAGAAACTCAAACTTGGGTGCTCCAAGTTTCTGTGCCAAGAGACCACTGTGACAATTATGGCCTTTGTGGCGCAAATGCAAATTGCATTTTCAATGCCATACCGGTTTGTCAATGTTTGGAAAAATTCAAGCCCAAGTCACCAGAGGAATGGAACAAAATGGACTGGTCTCAAGGGTGCGTGCGAAATAAGGAATTAGACTGTCAGAAAGGAGATGGATTCATCAAATTTGATGGACTCAAATTGCCAGATGCTACACATTCTTGGGTCAATAAAGATATGAATCTCAGGGAATGCAAGGCTAAATGCCTAGGAAATTGTTCCTGTATGGCCTATTCAAATTTAGATATTAGAGGAGGAGGGAGCGGCTGCGCTAATTGGTTTGGTGATCTGATGGATATTAGACTGGTTCCCGATGGAGGCCAGGAACTCTACATTCGGATGCATGCTTCCGAAATAGGTATGTTGTTGCCATTGTTTTTGTTAATCCATAAGCATGTGAAAAAGCCAATGAAAGTAACCTTAGTTTCCTTGATCACAACTTCATTGATTCAGTTTTAGCTGACATCCAAGTCTTCTTAATTTGCATCGTCAGGAGACCGTGACGCTAAAGCTAACATGAAGATTGCTGCAATAGCTACAGCTGCCGTTGCCTTAATCATGGGGATACTAACGATCAGCTATCATGTCTTGAAAGAAAAGGCAAAGTCTGCAGGTAAAGTTTCCTAGACTGATCCCTCTACTAAATAAATGACCGTCATGTTTGTTATATATTTCAACTGGAGTTATAAGCTTGTACAAACAAACAGCAGAAAAAATATGTAATTACATAGAGGACACATTCTTCTGTAAATTGTAAAAGAAATATACAAAGAGAACGTCAAATCCTAGATCTTCAATCAATTAAATTTCTGTAACTAGCGAAGTAGAAACATTACTGTTCTGTGTTTTAGTTCATTTTGGTATTGACTCGCAGATGATATTAGGGAATTTGGATTGATTTAATGTTTTAATCATTTTCAGCACTTCTAAAAGTTCTCTTCAATAAATGAACCTAATGTTTTAAAATTTTGTATCCTTCTTTTCTAATCTTTTAATATTTTACATGGTGCCAAGAAAATACTTCATCTGAGAGAACAGAAAACGACTGGAAAAATGATACGAACAATGGTGGGCAAAAGGAAGACATGGAGCTACCACTGTTTGCGTTCTCAGCCATAGCTGATGCCACCAACAACTTTTCAGTTAACAATAAGCTAGGAGAAGGTGGATTCGGACCTGTCTACAGGGTAAACTTCCAAAAAAGTTGAGTTTCTATAAGAGCAATAAGCATATTGTTTTATGCAGAGCGTCACAAGTATTTTATAAATTTTGTCCTTTAGGGTAAGCTAGAAGATGGACAGGAAATTGCTGTGAAGAGGTTATCAAGGTGTTCTGGTCAAGGATTCAATGAGTTCAAAAATGAAGTGATACTAATTAACAAGCTTCAGCACAGAAATCTAGTGAAGCTTCTTGGTTGCTGCAGTCAAAGAGAGGAGAAAATGCTGATTTATGAATACATGCCTAACAGAAGCCTGGACTCCTTCATTTTCGGTACACTAAGGATCCCTTTTAACCTGATAAACATAGTTGTCCTATGGTCTCGATAATAAAAAAATGCTTTAAATTATTGTTTCTATTAAATTTGTTGTTTTAAGTATTCCAAGAGCACTTGGCCTAATATGAATGCTTGACTTATCAGATGAGACAAAAGGTAGACTGTTAGACTGGTCCAGGCGGTTCAACATCATTTCTGGGATTGCAAGGGGGCTTCTCTATCTTCATCAAGATTCCAGATTGAGAATTATACATAGAGATCTCAAAGCAAGTAATGTTTTACTTGATGATCACATGAATCCAAAAATTTCTGATTTTGGTTTGGCTAGAATGTTTGTTGCTGACCAAACTGAAGGCGACACAAGCAGAGTGGTGGGAACTTAGTAAGCCATCTGATTCATTAGCCAGTTCTAATATTCCTATATTACCAATATGTTTTCTTATGTTAAACGCTTCATGCAGCGGTTATATGGCACCGGAATATGCTACCGATGGTCTATTCTCAGTGAAATCCGATGTCTTTAGTTTTGGTGTCTTATTGCTTGAGATAATAAGCGGAAAGAAAAGTAAAGGGTTTTACCATCCAGACCATAGCCTTAGCCTTCTTGGACATGTAAGCATTCAAGGTTAAATTGCTTTGTCGACTTATCCTGAACTAATGGCTGACAGCAAGTCTTTTGTTTGTCTTAGACATGGAGATTGTGGAATGAAGGCAAAGCATCAGAGTTAATTGACGCTTTGGGAGATGAGTCGTGCAATCCATCAGAAGTGCTGAGGTGCGTACACATTAGCCTCTTATGCGTGCAACATCATCCTGATGACAGGCCAGGCATGGCCTCTGTCGTCTGGATGTTGGGAGGAGAGAGTGCGTTGCCTAAGCCAAAAGAACCGGCTTTCCTTAATTACAGAGCTCTTGGTGAATCAAGTTTAACCTTGAGCAAGGTTGGATCATCTTCAACCAACGAAATTACTGTCTCGGTCTTGGAGCCTCGGTAGCTAATTGCCTCTATCTGGTTAACTAGACTGGAATTAAGGTCTGCTTTAAACTATGGAGCAGCATTGGCCAAATGCTCTTGTTTTGCTTCTGAATTAGATTCTGCTTGTCCTATCATTGCATACTAGTTACAAACCCTCACGTTGCTTTGGTGATCAAAATCTTTGTGTGATTTTTAAGCAGGAAATTTCTACAATTAAATTATTTATATAGCCTGTTTAATTTTCCATATACATTATGCAGACTTTTTTATATGAAGAAATAATTTAATTGAGAAAAAAGATCACTCACTAAACAAATAATTATTTGTATAATAGAAAAAAGAAGAAAAAAAATTATATATTCTTAATGTTCAATACATTGTCAAAATATGAAATCGTTTAAATATTGAAGTTCATTCTTGTCCTAAAAAAATATAAGAATATGAATTCTAAAAATTTATAACATATCATTTTTTAAAAGAAAATAGAAATCAACTAGATATCATTCATGTAATTAATTTAATTAAGTACTTCAATTATTGTCATGCATGACGTTGTAGGTGGATTTAATTTTTTCTTAAAGTAAAAAACATGTTGAGGTGTTGCTAATATTTTTTTGTAGTAATTTTTTTTTTAAAACTGTAGGGATTAACATGATGTGACACAATTAATTTTACAGTTTCAAAAACAACTTAAATGACCAATAAAAATATAATTTAACTCAAAATAAATATTCAAAATAAAAAAAATATAATTTAATTCAAAATAAATATTGAAAATAATTTTTTTTTTATAAATACTGAGACGACAATTTATTGAATCGATTCGGATCAATCCGAATTAACAAGACAATCTTCATATCACGTCATGAGACCATGATAACCCTATAAAAACTAATCAAAATAAATTATAAATCCTGATTTTCAATAAACTTAATATTGAATGATGAAACTAAAAAAAATTCAATTAAAAAAAATCTAAAAAAATAACCTAAATCAATCTGAGTTAATCTTCCAAACTCACGACCTGATCATCAAACCAGGATAACCCAATATAAATCAAATTAATACAAATTATGAAGTTTAATTATCAATTAACTTAGTGTTGAAAGAAAAAATTAAAAAAAAATCAATTAAAAAATAACACAAAACAACTTAAGTTAACCTAGTTAACCTACCAAACTCATGGCTTAAGTCATGAAACAAAAATAATCCCATATAAAGTAACCTAAAACAAATCACAAAATTTAATTCTTAATCAATTCAATATTAAAGGATAATTTTTTTTTAAAAATTGATTAGGAAAAAAAATAAAAATAAAAACTCAAGTTAACCAAGCTAACATATTAAACCCATGATTTGGGTAATTAGACTATAATAACCTAATAAAAAATAAATTTAAAATAATTATAAAGTTCAATCCCTAATAAACATAATGTTGAAAAATAAAAATAAAAATAAATTAAAAAATAAAAGAAAAAAACAATTTGAGTCAATTTAAGTTAATCCACTAAACTTATAACACAAGTCATAAAATGAGGATAACCTTATGAAAAAAAAACCAAAACAAATTAATTTCTAAATTAACCCAATATTAATGACTCAAGTAAACCCTAATTAACTTACCAAACTTGTAACCTACGTTATGAAATGGAGATAACTCGTAATCTAGATCATGAAATTAAAATAACCTTATAAAAAATAAATTATAAAATAATTATAAAATTCAATTCTTAATAAATTTAATGTTAAATAATATAATTAAAATTTTAAAAATATATATAAATAAAAAACTATTCAAATAAATTGTCTATTATGTCCTTTTTAATTTTTTGTTAATTTATATTATCATAGTACATTCTTTTCTTTTTTAAGAAGAAGAAGAAGAAGACAGTGTCATCACATACCCTTTTTCACTAAAAATATTCATTTTCAATATGCACTTTTAAGTACTAATCATTATTGCATTTCAAAATTAAATTACATTTTCAATAAAAGAAAGATTTTAACTTAGTCCTTATTGCATTTCAAAATTAAATTCATAATAAATATTTTATGAAATCTTGATAATATCTTTTTTTTAATTATATTTTAAATTGTAAAAAAAATATCAAGTTTATATTTCAAGTAGTTATGAGAAAAAAGTGCAATCTAATTTAAATAAAATATTTTAAGTTCTAAATTTTAATTTTATTATATTGAGGACATTAATAATTTATGGAGCCACTAGTTTTAAAGGTTATTGACTTTGATCATTTTTAGAATCTTTTGCAAAATTGATTTTTAAAAAAATTAATTTTATTCTTTAATATTTGATTTTTATAAAATTAGTATTCAAGCTTCTTCTTTTTTACTTTTCTTTTTATAGTATATTCAAATTCTATGCTTCCAATTTCAAGGTTTACAGGTTAATTAGAGGTTATTCAATTTTATTTTTATTTTTTTTGCATTTTTTTTAAGTTTCATTCCTTAGCATTTTTTATTCTTTATATTAGTATAGTTTGATTTTTACTGAGTTTTTAATTGACCTAAATAAGATATAAACTTTGTCAAATGTATTTGATTTGATCAAGTTTTTAGTGATTCAATTAACTATTCAAAACATGATTTGATTTAGTGGGTTAATTAAAAAAAAATCAGAATTCAAAGCCTTCATTGAACCAAATTTTTAGTGTAAACAAACAAAATATTGATCTAAATAAACACATTTAATTCAAGTTTTTAGTGATATGATTAATCTGGTCAAACTTAATCCAAACTTAACCAACTCAACACAAAAACAAAACACTTTGTTTTAATAAATAAAAAATTGACCTAAAGTCTCTAAATCAAAGGGTATCTTATTTGTTAACAAAAAAATAAGAAAATCAAAATAAGAGAGATTATGATAATAAACACATGTTTTCTTCAAGTCTCATTATTGATTTATAAGGGGCGTTGAGCTTTGAAGACAATCTGTTTCAATAATAGGTTTTCGAATGATATACTTTATTTTAAAATAAAATATAAAACATATAAATTTATAATATGAATGAAAAATCAAGTCTAATAATGACAAGATTATCTGGCTCACATAAAACATACTTAAGTTTATAGAAAAAGTGTAAAAATTTAAATAAAAGATATATAGAAAGTAAGATTTAAATGAATCTTATTTAAATTTGTATTAAAATTATTACAGGAGATTTTGGTTATAAAGGTTCGAATATTAGTATAGATGTTTTTTATAGGATAAGAGATGGTAATACAGAAGGTTACAGAGAAATTTGAATATGTTACAACATGATAAATGTGTGATGCTTCTTGTAAATGAAATCTTATATGAAGTTTTGTCGTTAAAACCTGGGATAAATCTCTTTATATAGAGTAGAATAAAACTATCTTTTTTGAAAATTTTATATAGCAAATGATTTGCTTTTTAAAAAGTTAAAAAAGTTTTTTTATTAATTTCCACTAATATTTATTTATTGTTTATGCAAGTAGGGGGGTTAGCTTTAAAAAAGTTGAAATGATAGCTAGCTATTTTTACCATTTGTGCCAACAAAATAAAGATGGGCCTAATGGTTTGGAGGATCTTAACTAAAAAATAAAATAGGTTAAAGTATTTTTGGACTTTTTAAAATACCTTTTTTTTTTTTACAAAGATAGTGATTGCCTAAGATTTTTGTATAAGAGAAAGGATACTGTAACAGTCATTTTCATTGTCATTTGCTAGGCCAATTATAAAACTTGAGCATGATATAGATGGAGATGAATCATTATCTTTTGGTGCTTTATACGAGTTGCTTTATAATTTTGAAATACTCTTTCTTAGATTATGCTACCAAGGCAAGAAAAGCAGAAACATGAGATCTATGTGTTAGTAATTTAGATTGAGGATTTGAGTCTATAATTGGAGTATTTTGATGATGTTGTGACCATTTTATGGCAACAAGTTTAGAACTTTTGGTTTTTGCTATAAAAAAATTTCATTATTTTACTTTATTATATCTTTTGATGATGATGATGATGAGATACTTATACAAGATAGCATTGTCCAAATGCCTGGAATATACCTAAAAGGACAAAGAATTTGGAACATGAATATTAGGAATTCAAAATAATTCTCAATCCTGTTAATATTCCTAACTTTGATGTTAGTGAACATTGAGGGTATTACTAATTCTGATATTAATGAATAAGAATATTCTTGATTTTGGTACTAGTAAATAAATGAGTAAAATTAGAATTGACAGCAAAAACACTTATTCGTATTATTTGTTTTAGAGATTAAAAAAGAAAGGATAGATATGTATTGCATACTAAATTTGCATTTTACAATATAAGTTTATAACTCAATACTAAGTAAAGTCATAAAAAATACAAGGAACCCACAAATAAATCCAAAAGGATCCCTAATTTTTTTAGAATTTTATGATATTTTAAAGGTCTGTTTGGCTAGATATCAAAATAAAAAAGAGAAAAAAAAGAAAATGGTATACAAATATATTTTTCCAAACACACATTTGGTTTAAAGAAAATTAAGTCAGATGGCCTAAGGCCCATACCCTACTTGGTCTCAATAATTTTTGTCTTTTTTATGGACTGAATCTAACCTAGTAATATGAACTAGGCTTGATCCAGCCTGTCAAGCTTGGTCACTAGCACAAGCCAAACCAAGTCTTGCAATAGTGGACACGCGTGCTTGCACAATGAACAACTAATTAAAATTACACAATAGGGGAAAATAAGAACTTACCTATGTTGTTGGAGACGAAGACTTGAGGTTATGCTGGTTGGATAATGCTCTTTTCTTCCCCTCCATTTCTATTTTGTTTGTTTCTATGTGATCATCCTTCTCTCTAGTTTTGGTTTTACTACTCCTTTTTTTTTTTAGATCTTCTCTTTCTCTCTCTCTTTTCTTTGTGATTTTTTTCATTGGTTGGACCGGGCAAATCAACATCAGATCCTAGCTTCTATTTTTGTTGTTTTTTATTCTTCCCCTCACTGTTTTTTTTATTTCTGTTCCTCTACTCTTTAGGTTTTCTTCCTTATCTATCTCTTTTATCTTTCTTTGTTTCCCATCCTTTGTGTTTTTCTAGTTTCCTACTTTTATAGGGCCAAGTTTGTATTTTTTGAAATCTTATATTTATGTTATAGGATTGTGATCCAGTATAGAGATAGCTATTGCTTTAGGTTTGCTCTATATTTGGAGCAATGAAAACACTAAAAATCCTACTATTGCTGGAGTTGAGTTATCATGCTAGAGGAGAGTTGTAAGGGTGAGGGATACGGAACTAAACTTATGAGTTTTGTGGTAAAACATTTGGTCTATATTTTGGCTTGGACTTGGTGTGAATTTGGTGGGGAGTTGGGGTCTAGTTGAAGCTATTTTTATGGCATGTTAAGTGGATTTTCCCCTGTTTATCTAGAGAAGAGAATGCATAGTGTGTTTGAATGATGTTGTTTTAGGCTAGGACTATCATTCATTATTTTCCCCTTGAAGTTCTAATATTTTACAATTGAGTCCTTATTATTGGAATTTATTTTTAATTTCACCGTTGGATCAATGCAATTAGACCCTTGGATTTCATCTTTATCTACATAATAATCCTTTGTTTCAATTTACTCCTCAACTTTTAATTCTTTCAAAATTATCCCTGAAAAAATCTAATCATTTGATTATATAAAAAATATATTTAAAAAATATAATTATTAAATACAACTTAATATATGATCTTTATTGCAAAATAAAATATCTTAATATTTTTTAATTTCATCCTTTAAGATTTATTTATTTTAAGATTACTCTTCATGCTTCTTTTTTTTCTTACTTTTCTTTCATGAGGTTATTCTAATAATTTATTTATGGTTGTGGGGTTAGCATATTTAAGCAAAATGACTTAGATTATATTTTTTAATTAATGTTTTTTCTTTTAGTTTTATCATTCAACATTAAATTGTTTTATAGTTAATTTTCATGGTTTGATTCAAGTTGCTTTCATTTATGAGTTCTTCTTTTTTTTACCTTTTATTGCACATATAGTTGTTTCATTAAATAAAAATAATATTATAAAAAACACAGTTATTAAACACAATTGAGTTGTAAAATCAAATATCTTAATCTTAGTTATTTCTTAATCAAATATTAATTTAATTAATTAGATATATACATAAGCATTGAGAATTCTTTTATATAAAAATATGCATTGCAAATGCATGTACATTTATTTTTTTACTAAACAATACAACTCATGAATGGAATACAAGTCTAGCACACACTTGACACCTCAAGAATCTTTCTATTTTAATTTTTTTTTTATCGTATCTCCAAGAATCTTAAGATTCAAGCAATAACCATGTAAATTTATTTTATTTAGATTATTCAAATTTTAATTAAAAGGGGAAAGTGCATGATTAAATGAAGATGTGGGAATAAAATATTATTTACTTCTAAAAATAATTCAATTTATATTAGTTCAATAACTTATATCATATTACCATATAGGTTGAAAATTCTATCATTATAAAAAAAGAAATAGGGAAAGAAAATTCAATTTTAAATTAACCTAAGATGTATTTAATCTCTACAACAATTTTTCAAAGAAGATATCATTTGTATCTAGCTATGAATATTAAAAAATATTCAGAGCTAGATAATTTTTCTTAAAAAAATAAATAAATAATAGAAAATATTTTTTTTTCCATGCACTCACTAAGTACAACAAAACTTAAGATTGAGTTGTGAATTTTTCCGACCTTCAAAATTTGAAAGATTAAGGCATTAGTCAGTTAATTATTCTACTTATTCGTTGTTTACCCTATAATTTTTTTCAAAGGTTTAAAACATTATTTATCCAAATTTTCTTTTATTATTTTGATTATATCATTTCTAATTTAATGAGACTTTCATAATTATTTAAAATGTACATTTTGGTGCTTGGAGTTATAGGAAACAAACCAAAAGAGAATGTATTTTATATATTTAGTAATTTGATGGAAATTGATAATTAACTTTATATCATATTACTATCTAGTTTTGAACCAAAAAAATAGACCTACGGATATAATTGATTTCATAACCCAAATTAACCCAAAATGTATTTGACATATAGTGTAACGTACAATGCTTTTTCAAGGATTATCTAATTTGTATCAAACTACACTTTAGCTAGACTTTATGTTGCTTTCATATGGTTAGAGCATTATCAAAAAGTTGCGTAAACAAACTAACAAATGGAAAGGAAACATGGTATAATTCATCTAAAATATAAGCATAAGACATTTCAATGTAACAAGCACAAGTCATTGACACACCACTCATCCTCGTCTAATGAGAATAAAAGACAAACAACAAAGTACATAGAACATTACTTTAGCAATGCTGTAAGAAACAAAGCATAAAGAATTCAGATGCAAAACTAGTGAATATGCAAACCATACATCTCAAGAAATAGTGTAACATCCAACTCATGATCCATGTCATTTTAAACTTGTGCTTACTTCAATAGATTCCAACCATCATGCCCATATCATTTAAAAGGCGTTTAATATTTATCAACATACTTTTTACTTAAAAATATATTAAAATAATATATTTTTTATTTTTTAAAATTTATTTTTAACATCAACACATCAAAGCAATCTAAAATCACTAAAAAAATAATAATTTAAAAAAATAATCAATTCTTTTTAAAAATTATAAACAATGCAAAAATAAATAGACATTCGGCTATTTATTTGATGGCTCAACTTACTTGAAAATATAGCCCAGACTAGAGATAGTTTCAAACATTCGGCTTGGCTGATAAATGAAGGCCCGAATTTAATTTCACAACCCGTTAATTACACTTTCTATAGCTAATGGTAACAATAGTATTCAAGTTCCATAATTAGTTTTCATAACTCCATCTCCATCCAAGATGGTGAGTGCATGGGAAATTTAAATAAACGTTTAGTGCAAGATAAAGTTAAAGAAACTAAAAGCTAAACAAGGATAGAGCTGCTGTTTTTTTTTTTTTTACAAAGAAGCAAGTTACATAAAGATTCTAAATACAAATTTCGAATGCATGGAAACAAAAGAGGGTTATGAGCTCGACATTATTATAAAATTTAACCCATTCAAAGCAATCAATGATAAGCTCCAAGCAAACACAAAGCTTGAACATATATACCCATGTAAGTGGAACGAAATCATATGCTCAAAATGGGAAGAGAAATGGAAATAACATTTTAGGCTGCAACTTAATGACAATTCCTCACGCAACAAAAACAAAATCCCTACGAGGGACAAGATTTCATTGACCAAATTTAATTGATTGTAATCCTTATTGAAGTAAAAGACCCTGGATTCTAATCCTACGCAGTCCTATTAAAAATAAATGCTCCCTGTGGAGGTAAATTACAATCCTATTCTAAATAGCATAAGGTGAAGAATACCACCTCAAATCCCATCAAAAACTAAAATCAAACAGAGATAAAAGACGAGCCAGCCATATCCTAATGAAGGTGAATTGTGATCATATTCTAGAAAACTCAGATGTGCTACCTAAGAACTCGACCAAGTTCCCTATTGAAACAAAAACTAAACTATTTCCTTAAGAACAAATTATAGTTATGCCCCCCTAAAAATAACTAGAAAAAAAAAAACTTGGGTGGATGAATTGAAGATTGCAAGAATTCTAAGGCTAATAGCAGCCGATAACAATACTGAATGAAAAGGAGCCAAAAACAAAATGTTTACTTTTTGTACATTTCAGATCACCAAACAAGGAATTGCTATTCAATATGGAGGGGGAAACTATAATAAATGAGATGATCTCATATTAAATTAATCATATTGAGCATATGACTGAAATGTTCAAGTAACTTCAGACAATGTGAAATTCAAACAGAAGGCAGTTCCAACATTGAAAAGATTCGAAGATTAAACCCGAGAGCAATCTTAGGCCATTTGCATTGACTTGCTTTTTCACAAGTATAAATTTTTCCACCCCATCTTTAGAATCTTTAACAACATCCACAACTTGTATAATAACATAATCCTCCTATAGGTCTCAAATGCCTTGGTCCAGTTAGAATCTTTTCAGAAACTTCCTCAATAGGGTTGGTCTGATTAGAATCAATTAACTTCATAGGTATAAATTTTCCCACCCTATCTTTAGAATCCACAACACCTTCTAACCATGAACCTTTGCCAAGGTTCTGGATTTTGTCTCAATGCCAAAGATCTATTAATATACTTGCGGAAAAAAGGTGCAAAAGTTTTGGACTAATAACTGATACCATGAATAAAGATCAAGAGATACTTATGGGAAGAGGTTTCTCCCCCTACATAACCATGAAAAAACAAGCAGAATATTGGAGTGGAAAGGTTAATCATGAAATTTGCATATTCATGACTGAGATAATTGAATTTACTAAAAGTAAAACTATAAATTCCATGAGACAGAGCAATCTCAATAAGCCAAACATAAATACAGCTGAGTTCATTAAAAAATTAATATCCAAGTTCACATGTCAGCTAGAAAAACATTCTTTGAAGACTGAGGGAACCACAAAGAAGTTTAAGTTGACTAAGGTTGCAAAACAAAACGAACAAGATATACTGGTCCTAGGAAAGAACAGCAAATTCTCCAACGATAAAACCATCACCCATAGAAAAATGCAGGCATCATAAGCATAACAAGGCAATGATGGTGGAAAATGATGAGAGCAATATCAAGGAATTTAACAAAGGATCCAATGGTCTATCTAAAATCTGTTGATGGATCCTTTCCTGGCAAGCCCATATACTTCTACTGCTCAAATATTAAACCATAAAGTTCTTCTTCGAGAAAGGCAGCATTTTTTAAGGCCTTCAAAACTTCTGAGAGGAAAGGAAGTATACTATAGAATAATGCAATCAGGGAACGTTCACGTTTCAAAAATTAATGACCTGATTGAATGCATGAAATGTGTGAATTCAAAAGGTCCTCATAAGAACGATAAATATACAACAAACTCTCAATTCATCTATCTATTTTAAATAGGTTGTGATGATTCTATATTTGTCACACCATAACTCTCAATAGATTCTTCAGAAGAAAGGGTACCTGGTGTGATAAAACTAAACTATCATAGGCGACATCTATACAGTTCTGCAGCCTATGCAAGCATTCCTCCTGATGAGAAGCAGAAAACAAGGGTCTTAAGGAAATCAAGGTCAATAGAATCATATCTTTTGGCATATGCAAGAAAAGATGGTAACATGAAACAACAATGTCCTCTTTGAGAAATTTGCTAACAAGGAAGTACCATCCCTACACATTATACAACGGAAATTTTTAAAAAAATATCTAATTTTTCTCAACAACAGTTTATTAAAAATATCAGCCAAGGTACGATTAGTTACTAAATGAGACCTATAATAATTTCAAACATTAACCAGTTTAATGGTCTGCTTACCCAAATTTAATAATAGGATTAGTTACTAAATATCGAGAATGTGATATTATATGTTCTAGCAGTCACAAATCAGTTGTTGTAGCAAGAAGGCAAAAGCATTTGCAACCCCTTATATGCAATAAAAACTTTCAAGACATAAAATAGAGAAAAATATGCCTTCAGTAGTGTAGGAAGAAGAAATTTACATATATTAGGCAGCAAAATTACTTGGAAATATGGCATTTACACTACAAATTAAAACAAAAGCATTACAACAAAGAAACCCTATCAAGATTAAGAAACACAACATCCAGAGAAATTCATATTAAAGAAAAAACCCATCAATATTTGACAAAAAAAACCAATTACATGGAAAGTGAAATTAATAAATCTTGAAGAGAAACAAAAACTATTAACAAAATTCAATATAAGAATGAAATAAAAAGAAAATAAGCTAAAAAAACCAAAACTTTAAAACTGAAATTCTTCAATCCCTTAATAAAGTCAAGAAATCATAATTTACAATGACTAGAAATTTTTAAGAAACCCAGATACTAAAACATCAAAATCCAGAAATACACACCAAAAACTTTTGACCAAAATAAATATATAAAAAATCCCATAGAAGAAGAACAAATTATGTATCTAAAGAGAGATTAATAGAGAAAAATATTGGAACTCACAGAAGTAGAACACAGAATTTGAATCAAACTTCAAATAGAGAGTTTAAACAACTCAAAGAGGACTGTTGTTTCTTGAGAGAGAGAGAGAGAGAGTTTTTCTTTTGAAATTGAATAAAGTTTTGGAGAGGCTGGATTTTGACACTGCAAGAAAAACTACAGACAATTAAAAATATTATCGACCGTTGGAGTTATTGAACGACAGTGTGTTTGTCTGTTCAGGTTTTCCAAACGACAATTTCTCATAGGGATGTAAAACAATGAGGGATTTTTTTTACCTTAATGAAAAACCATTTTTATTTAAAAAAATAAAGGGGAAATAATCAAACACCATAATGTAATTCAACCTTTTATCATGTTTTTAATCTTTTATTATTTTCATATGTTTCTAGGTTTATTGTGTTTTTCCTCTTTTTTGTAAGCAAAATAAAATGAGTTTTGATATAAAATACAATGCAACAAGTTTTTTTTTCATGAACCCGAATGATATTGTTTGAGTTTTTAAATAATTAATTAATTATTTATTTATTTATAATAATTATGTTTTCTTTATTCATTAGAAAAAAAATTTAATTTTTTATTCATTAGAAGATAAATTTAACTTATCATATAAAATAAGGGACCAATAAAACTTTTTATATTAGTATAGTTTGATTTAGACTGAGTTTTTAATTGACCTAAATAAGATATAAACTTTATCAAATGTTTTGATTTGATCGAGTTTTTAGTGATTCAATTGACTATTCAAAACATGATTTGGTTTAGTGGGTTGATTAAAAAAAATCAGAATTCAAGCCTTCATTGAACCAAGTTTTTATTGTAGACAAACAAAATATTGATCTAAATAAACATATTTAATTTAATTTTTTAGTGATATGATTAATCTGGTCAAACTTAATCCAAACTTAACCAACTCAACACAAAAAAAAACTTTGTTTTAATAAATAAAAAATTGACCTAAAGTCTCCTTATTATACAACCTAGATTAGCTAAATTAGAGGGTATCTTATTTGTTAACAAACAGATAAAAAAACCAAAATAAAATAGATTATGATAATAAACACATGTCTTCTTCAAGTCTCATTATTGATTTATAAGGGGGCGTTGAGCTTTGAAGACAATCTTTTTCAATATTAGGTTTTCGAATGATATACTTTATTTTAAAATAAAATATAAAACATACAAATTTTTAATGTGAATGAAAAGTCAAGTCTAATAATGACAAGATTCTCTAGCTCACATGAAACATACTTAAGTTTATAGAAAAAGTATAAAAATTTAAATAGAAGATATATAGAAAGTAAGATTTAAATGAACCTTATTTAAATTTGAATTAAAATTATTACAAGAGATTTTTGTTATAAAGGTTCGAATATAAGTAGTATAGATCTTTTTACAGGATAAGAGATAGTAATACAGAAGGTTACAGAGAAATTTGAATATGTTACAAGATGATAAATGTGTGATGCTTTTTATAAAGGAACTCTTATATGAAGTTTTGCCGTCAAAGCCTGGGATAAATCTCTTTATATAGAGTAGAATAAAACTATCTTTTTTGAAAATTTTATACAGTAAATGATTTCCTTTTTAAAAAGTTAATTTTTTTTTTTTATCAATTTCCATTAATACTTATTTATTGTTTATGCAAGTAGGGGGGTTAGCTTTAAAAAAGTTGAAATGGTAGCTAGCTATTTTTACCATTTGTGCCAACAAAATAAAGATGGGCCTAATGGTTTGGAGGATCTTAACTAAAAAATAAAATAGGTTAAAGTATTTTTGGACTTTTTAAAATACCTTTTTTTTTTACAAAGGTAGTGATTACCTAAGAATTTTTGTATAAGAGAGAGGATAATATAACAGTCATTTTCATTGTCATTTGCTAGGCCAATTATAGAACTTGAGCATGATATAGATGGAGATGAATCATTATCTTTTGGTGCTTTATACGAGTTGCTTTATAATTTTGAAATACTCTTTCTTAGATTATGCTACCAAGGCAAGAAAAGCAGAAACATGAGATCTATGTGTTAGTAATTTAGATTGAGGATTTGAGTCTATAATTGGAGTATTTTGATGATGTTGTGACCATTTTATGGCAACAAGTTTAGAACTTTTGGTTTTTGCTAGAAAAGAGTCTCATTATTTTACTTTATATTTGATGATGATGATGATGAGATACTTATACAAGATAGCATTGTCCAAATGCCTGGAATATACCTAAAAGGACAAAGAATTTGGAACATGAATATTAGGAATTCAAAATAATTCTCAATCCTATTGTCAATATTCCTAACTTTGATGTTAGTGAACGTTGAGGGTATTACTAATTCTGATATTAATGAATAAGAATATTCTTGATTTTGGTACTAGTAAATAAATGAGTAAAATTAGAATTGACAGCAAAAACACTTATTCGTATTATTTGTTTTAGAGATTAAAAAAGAAAGGATAGATATGTATTGCATACTAAATTTGCATTTTACAATATAAGTTTATAACTCAATACTAAGTAAAGTCATAAAAAATACAAGGAACCCACAAATAAATCCAAAAGGATCCCTAATTTTTTTAGAATTTTATGATATTTTAAAGGTCTGTTTGGCTAGATATCAAAATAAAAAAGAGAGAGAAAAAAGAAAATAGTATAAAAATATATTTTTCTAAACATACATTTGGTTTAAAGAAAATTAGGTCAGATGGTCTAAAGCCCATACCCTACTTGGTCTCAATAATTTCTGTCTTTTTTTATGGACTGAATCTAACCTAGTAATATGAACTAGGCTTGATCCAGCCTGTCAAGCTTGGTCACTAGCACAAGCCAAACCAAGTCTTGCAATAGTGGACACGCGTGCTTGCACAATGAACAACTAATTAAAATTACACAATAGGGGAAAATAAGAACTTACCTATGTTGTTGGAGACGAAGACTTGAGGTTATGCTGGTTGGATAATGCTCTTTTCTTCCCCTCCATTTCTATTTTGTTTGTTTCTATGTGATCATCCTTCTCTCTAGTTTTGGTTTTACTACTCCTCTTTTCTTTAAATCTTTTCTTTCTTTCTCTCTTTTCTTTGTGATTTTTTTCATTGGTTGGACCGGGCAAATCAACATCAGATCCTAGCTTCTATTTTTGTTGTTTTTTATTCTTCCCCTCACTGTTTTTTTTATTTCTGTTCCTCTACTCTTTAGGTTTTCTTCCTTATCTATCTCTTTTATCTTTCTTTGTTTCCCATCCTTTGTGTTTTTCTAGTTTCCTACTTTTATAGGGCCAAGTTTGTATTTTTTGAAATCTTATATTTATGTTATAGGATTGTGATCCAGTATAGAGATAGCTATTGCTTTAGGTTTGCTCTATATTTGGAGCAATGAAAACACTAACAATCCTACTATTGCTGGAGTTAAGTTATCATGCTAGAGGAGAGTTGAAAGGGTGATGGATACTGAACTAAACTTATGAGTTTTGTGGCAGAACATTTGGTCTATATTTTGGCTTGGACTTGGTGTGAATTTGGTAGGGAGTTGGGATTTAGTTGAAGCTATTTTTATGGCATGTTAAGTGGATTTTCCCCTGTTTATCTAGAGAAGAGAATGCATAGTGTGTTTTAATGACGTTGTTTTAGGCTAGGACTATTATTCATTATTTTCCCCCTGAAGTTCTAATATTTTACAATTGAGTCCTTATTCTTGGAATTTATTTTTAATTTCACCATTGGATCAATGCAATTAGACCCTTGGATTTTAGCTTCATCTATATAATAATCCCTGGTTTCAATTTTAATCAATTCAATCCTTAATTAACTCCTTAACTTTTAATTCTTTCAAAATTACCCCTAAAAAAATTAATTAACCCCCCTATAGTATCAATAACTATTCACTTCGATCTTTAGAACTAATTTCTTGTAATTTTGGCTCAAATTGAACCTGAACTTTAATATTTCTTCAATTAAACCCCTAATTTCTTTAATTAAACTAGTTTAAAGTTTAATTAAGTCCCTAAACTTTTCAATTCTTTCAATTTTTGGCCAAATTGACTTCCAACTTTATAATTTCATCCTTATTAGTCTTCAAACTTTCAAATTGTGTTGTCTCGACCTAATAATCAAGTTATTTTTTATGATTTTTTTTATTTTTTATATTATTATTTTTTTGGAAACTAAAAATTGGGTTATAATAGCATGCATGATCTAAAAAAAAAAAACTTGATTTCTATGTAAAGGAAAGGGTAAGGACTTTTTTTTCTACCAAGTTTACATGTACCACAATCATATAACACAGTAAAAGGTGAAAACAAATCTTTATTATCGAATAACCATGTTTCATAATATAAGTCAAACCAATGGAATTGTGATGTCCTAATTCCATATGACATACATGACTATTATTAACAATCACAGTACAATTGAAAGAAATAAACCTAGGAATGAAAAATTCAAGAGGAAGAAGACGTAACACCTTAAGTTCTTTTGTTATCACTTTACTAGATGTTTAATTTTGAATACGATAATCATTATGATCAAAGTGAATTTCATAATTATTATTTACCAATTGGCCAATATAAATTTAATTTATTGATAAATATAGAGATATAAAAATATTATTAAAAGAAGACCTCAAAATTCCACTTGTAGTTGTAGGAAAATCATTGTCATTGGTTATCTGAAAATGTTTCTCATCCTCATACTTAGAAAAATTATGTAAAACTGATTAGTACTTAAAAGTGCATTTTTATCATGGTTTTATATCATCATTTTGCACTTGAAGTATCAATAACTCCTTAACCAAAGCATATTTTATAATAATATATCTAATAATACAAGATA